TTATTTATTATTGTAATAAAAGCTATGTAATTGAATTCAGTATTTTATTGTCTTTCGAAAATCATGCATATTTCATTTGAAAACGGAAGTATCATCGCCAATATTTTCAAATATAAGCGCCTTTTTTTTATTATATTACTGCTGGCATTCGAAAAATTGGTTTTCGAAATATTGAATTTTTATTTTGTTCAATGGATACGTCATTTTTTTCAGTTGGTACATTGACTTCAATTCACTAAAAATTACTGTTTCATCAACCATACATTGTAAGGTAAGTGGATAAGTGCTTCATCATTCTGATCCTGTTTTGACAGAGATCCATCTCATTTTAAGCCACAAAAAGACCATTCGTGTTTTTTAATACGTAGCTTTATATCGAGAATAACAAAGCATCAACTTTTGGAATTGTAAGACGGTGATGAACTCGATGATTTGACAGAATATTCAAAACTTCATCGATTATTGTATATTTTTGAAAAATTCATTATGAGGATTTTTTTCCAACAAAAACCAAGTTTCACAACTCTAAGATAGCATTTTTCTCGTGTAACGCGACGTGTTCTATCCATGAAAAAGAACGAAAACAAAAATGAATTCCAGTTTCAGCTTTGAATTTTCTGAAGCATGTGAAAGTATGACAAACATATGACTCATCGAATTAAATTATAGAAATATCATTCGAGTATAATACATGATGCAAAAGTCTTTGGTATAAGGTCAGAATTTATTTCTCAGCGATAAAACGTCAGATGAAGTCCAGTTATTTTGTTAAGAAAAACAAATTCATAGAACAAAGTTATTTAGCCAACAGTTCTTTAATTAATCAAACTGTAACATGCGAAAACACTCTGTCAACTACCTAATGAAGGCATTGTAACATGCGAGAGAGAGTTAGTTTCTTAAATAATATCACCCCAATTCGGTTTTCCATAAATATCTACAATCAATGCATATTTTTCTTTCTATTCTTTTTTGATTGTTTTGTAAGTTGCCTAATTTTAAAATTGATCAGCTTTTACTAAATTGATATTCTGTTGGAATATTTATTTTAAAAAAACGATGTTTTTTTAAATCATACTGTAACGAAACCTAAATTTCGCATAGATAATCTTATAGGATTTTGTAAATTCTATTGGCAATCATATTTAATTCGAGCTATAACATAGACAAGATCACACACTGAAGGGTCAAAAATAGCGAAAATACAAGTTGCAAGGACACTCAGTCTTGTATCGCATTTCAATTTTATTGTATCAAACTGAAATTTTTATGCTGATGTTTCATTTTTGAGACTTTGATTTTTTGAAACAGCAAACAGAAAGGAGGTCTATTCGAAGCTCCACCACTGAGAAATAATTTCTGAGATTATTTCAAAGGCTAGCCACACAAAATTATTAAACATATAGTATTTATTGAATAGAATGAATGTGTTTGTTGATGTATCCAATTTAATGTTTATTTTTATTGATTTTCATGCTTACTGACATTTGTGAAGGATTGAAAATGACAAATACAAAAACATAAGATTCAAATCAGTTGAATTGAGCATTTTATAGATTTATTCGCGAACAATTGATCAAACATATTTTCGTTGGCATTTACCATCCACTTTCATAGAAAGTTTTCGGCAGTGCCAGAAAAAAAGTAAAGCATTACGGATAGAGTACGGTAGATGATTTATGCATTGTTTTGTTGTCTGAAAAAAAAACTGTGCTGCGAAAATGTCATGATGAAAATTAAAATAAAAGATATCAAGAGCATAAGTGACGTAAAATTCGTTCGTCAAAAAGAGATACAGCGAAAAGCGTTTTAAAATGAATTTTCTTCAATTTTTTTATGCTATGAGAGCCCAATCTCATATGTACTCGGTCAAATGATACGGGATTCTTTTGACTTTTAGTAAATTTTTCTGATTTTGTATGAAAATCTTCTTGAATCAGTATACCATTTGCATTCAGTTTTTGGAATATTATGCTAGGATGGATTTAAAAATAATTTTGCCTTATATAATATTGTACTAAAAGATATCCTAAAGTCTTCTCTATTGTTTGGTGAACTGGCAGTTGCTAGCTATTTCCATTGTCCAGTAATTGAGTTTCCGTACAACTCTCTTTGAATATGGCGTGGACATTAGTTGATTACACGAAAAATTGTTTTTTTTCTTTCTCTGAAAAACTATTTATTCCACTTCTTCTATGATGAAGTTCATATTACAGATAGAGGTGTAAGCCATGTGGCTGAGTCGCCGCCGAAATCCACATGTGAAAATCACTTTTTTAAAATTTTTATTTATGTTTGAATCAGAAAATTTCTTCTTAACTTTGTCGGTAGTTTATATGTTCGAAAAACTAATACTTTGTGTCTCAAAAAATATAAGTGCAAAACAATTTTATTAATATTGACGATTTGAGTTTGATTTGTATCTGAATCTATTATCATATAACGAGTTTTCATAATTTTAATAAAAGTCTTTTTACTCTAATAAAGCCATTGAATATACTAAAACGCTAAGCTGTTTACAGTTCTTTGCGTTGCATGCACAAAAAAGCAAACAAAATGTTAGATATTCAACGAGTTTATTGCAAAATTTGCTTCGATAAGTGAAAATCTGAACAAATATATAATGATTCATTCTCAATTAAAAAAGACTTAGCCGTTTCAGTAATACATGAGGCACAGGTAATATGCTAATTCCTTATTGGCAATCCATCGAGTGATAGAAACTCAGCAGATCAAACCAAAAAAATCAGTCTATTCCGTTCCTGTTTTCTCCAAGCCGCTATACAGCAAAAGCTGTTGAATTAATACAAACAACTCGGACAGGGATCAAAATTAATGTTTTGTAGAGATAGTCTTTCAGACTCTATGATTAAAAACTGAAATACCTTGATATGCATCAATTAAGTCTTTCCTCCCTTCGAGCCACTGAATCTCTTTATTTTGGGCAAAACTGAGTAGTAATTCATTACTTCTCTCCATATTTCCTACATGCATTGTCTTGATTAAACAAACGTGTGAAATATAGCTATTTCATGTAGGTTTTTGAAACTACACATAAGTAATCAGATATTCAAATAAATAGGCATTTCTTATCATCTAAAGACTTACTCAATTCCGAAATTTTCAGCTGCCGTCGCCGCTACAAAGTATACAGATTCAAAGCAGGTGCCGAAGCCGATCGATCAGTCGGCTTACACTTCTAATTGCAGAGGCATGAAAATATTCTGGATTGTTTTTCTCCAGAGTATTCCGTGCATCACATGCAATATTAGTTAATTTTCAGGTTAAAAGAGGAAACTTTATTTTTGTAATTTTTTGATGACTTTATGCAGAATCAAAACCTATATAATGTATCACAAATTCAGTATGGAGTTTCATAATTTGAAAAATGGCGACATAGATACTACCAAAAATTAGCCATAGCGATCTAAGAGATTGTGTCAGATTCCTCATTTGTTGGACTATACAACCTCAATAAACTTACGATATCTTATATTTTAAATATCTCATTGTTTTCAGTTTCTAACGAGCTATCATTTGGTATATTCACATAATTCTAGTTCTTTGGTCATCTTATAAAGTTATTATTGTTAGCTTATGATTTTCAGATAAATTACAAAAAGGAACAAAAGCATTTTGAAAATGAAAGCTACCTTTTCCACTCATTCTCGTAGCACTCATGCCGTATTATGTGGCCGAGAAATTTCTCGGGCAATTAAACAAAGTGATGCCGCAATAAGACAAGAATATCTTTGGCTATACCATCAAGATTGCATATGTGCACTAATATTCACAAGTTCTTTATTATTAATGTTATTATTTTCATATCTTTATTTATCAAACTACCTTTCCGCGATGTCGACTATTGTTTTAATAGCTTTTGCAATATCCTTGTTACATGAATTAGAACATGATATTATTCATAATTTATATTTTAAAAAATACAAATGGATTCAAAATGTCATGTTTCTATTTATTTGGGTTGCTAAATTACATATTTCACCTTGGCATCGTCGGCAGATACACTTGAAACATCATCTTTTATCTGGTCAAATAAACGATGCAGAAGAAAGATTAATTGGTTTAGGTTTATCACCGAATTATAAAAGAATGGCTGTTAGTATGCATCCGTTTGGCGGTGTTTTGGTCAGTAATGACATAAGTAAAGATGTGAAATTTTTAAATTTATTTACTCTGCAACTTCATAATGCACCAATGTTACTTACATTTCTCCTTGTTAATCTAAGTTTTCTTGGTTATAATTTATTCTTCTTTATTTACTGTTGTTTAAGTTATGATATCAATACGATATATGGTATTCATACATTTTATCCAATTATTCGTACTTTAGCGGTTTGTTTATGTTCTCCAAATTTACTAAGACAAGCTTGCTTAGTATTAATGTCTACCGCTTCTCATTATTATGGTGATATACCCTTGAATACTGTATATTATCAAAATCAAATATTAGACTCATGGTATGTGCTTCCTTTTCAAGCATTTTGTTTTAATTTCGGTGCAACACATATTGTGCATCATTATGTTCCTTCGCAGCCATTTTATATTCGACATTTTACGGCTAGGGCAGTAAAAAATATTATGATTAAGTTAGGCGTGCGTAATAATGATTTTGGTATATTGTGGAGAAATAATCGTTATAATATCGATTCAAAAGAAGATGAAAAACAGAAATTATATGGTAAGTATTGGTTTGCTGCATGCGTATTGCTGGGATTTCCTTTATACATAATATGGGACATGATGGTCTTCCACAAGCTCAATAAAAATATTCTAAACTTGATTACAGAAAAATTATCGAAGAAAAGTAAAGAAGAACTTGATAACAAAAGTAATAATGAATTAACAACTAATGAAAAAATGGTTAACAATAGTGAAACAATAACAGATAATGGTATATACCAACTGAATACATTGGTTAATCGAATTGCATTACCCTATGTATGAGCAGATCAAATTGAAGAAGTTAGTGATAAAGCCGCTGAAACCTAAAGAAAAATTAGTGAATAAAACAGACAATTCTTTTTGTCACTTCTGTTTTTTTTTTCATTTATTAAAAGACAATTCTTGTGCACCTATATTCAATGTGTTTTTTATAGGTATGGGTAGTGGGATGTACGTGTGAATATAAATCCTACTCTTCCACTAATACCCCTTGAAGATTAATTAATAGCGTCACTAGTTATTTTCTATTCAAATCGAAAGCATAAGGTGCCTTATCAATAACGCTCGTCGAGGTCCATCGGGGTGATATATGAATCTCTTTAAGAGTGCTCAGAGGCAATTCTTGGCACGCTTCTCCAGAATTCTAACATCTGTGCATTTATTTTCTTTATTAATTTGGTTTTTTCATCCAATGAAAGAATGCTTTTAGAGGAAACAATAGTCCACTGAAGAAAAAGATACCATACAGAACTAATAAGGGTTTTGTACTTCCTATGAGGGTGTGAGATGTGGATGTGGGATGTGGCTGTTGGTGTGGGGCACGAATCTTCTCTTACGCTACACCAACACCCACCCAAACCCCCACCCTCAATCAACAAAGAAAGGGAAGAGTAAACTATTCTCAAAAAAGAATGGGTATTTCTTCGAAAAATATCCTATTAATGAGCTTCAATGGTTGAATAAAAACATTTAAGATTTGCTTCACATGAGTGAGTTATTAAAACAGATTTTTGCATTGTTTCAATGAGTTGAATTCTAAACTTTCACAGTTAAATGCAATCAAAATAGTAAATATCTACTCAAACACGTTTCAACACATTACCTTATGTAAAACGTGATGTAAACCGGTACAAAAGGGTTTTTTTATTCACTTTGGAAGAAATTCATAAATACACCGTTATAACATTTTTTTTTCTATCTGCATGAAAAAGAATTGAAACATGAATCATTTCTTACAGGTTTTCCTTTTCTCACTGCTTGTTGCTTTGCTTTTAATATTCATTCCACGTGTCGACAAATAATTTTGTAATCATGACACATACTACTTTTTTGTTCGACTTCCTACCTGTTGAAATTCTACATATGATTTTTAGTTATTTCCTTGCTCATAAAATTCTGCCATCATTTTCAAATATTAGCGATCATGTTGATAGTTTTTTTACTCGCATATGCTTCATATAAAATTAATTTTGAGTGAATTTCCATCTCTCACTTCGACCTTCGCATGTTATGTCACTGATTCTTTCCGATGCTGATGATACACGGGTCCATCTGCATTATTTTTATCACATTTTCCTATCGAACAATTCACACAAGTTCAATCATTAATATTGATCGGCATTAAACTCTATTCATTGAAATGGATCTTGTCGAATTTACATAATCTCCAGCGATTAAATTCATTCAACTACGATTTCAAAACAATTAAAATGAACTGTCTAGATCAGTTTCATAATTATTCAGATTACATCAATTAAGTGCATAGTTACCTATCGGGAGTTACTATTCGATTAGTTACTCGATTAAAACGACCACGCCTTTCTAATTTCAAAGTTTTGCCAACAATGTCACTTCCATATCTTCGTCATTTGAAAGTGGGAACAACGACAATTGGTGAATTTCGAATGATTCTTTCTCAAACATAAAATCTACACCCACACCCACACCCACACCCACACCCACACCCCCGCCCTCCGCCCCGACCACAACCCAACTCTACCGCAACCCCCAAC